TCGGGCGACACAAACACACTCCATTTTTATTTTTAAAATTCCAACGGGAGGTGTGCATTGCGCGGCAGGCGTTTGGACATCGAACAAACCTCAATGGTTAGCTCGTTTAAATGCATATATCCACATTCACACATTCATCAACTAATGCAGACGTATATACTCGGAGAAAAAACGTACATATAGTACTTGTATTTAAAATTGTATAACGCTATATGGTGTACAGAGTAAAGTCATTACTATTGCGACTTAAGTTTTTGTTCACTAATTGGTGAGTAAAGGTTTTATTTGAGAGGAAAGAATGATAGACTCATAGTATGATGTATGTTCCAATAATAAATTCAGATTTTTAAAAATAGTTTACAGATACAATCACTATAAAAACAAACTATCATACAAACAATATCACTTAGAAAGCCTTTTTGTATAAAAATCCTCTTGTTTTGAAAGATATTACAACCAAATCAAACACTAAAAATGTTGTTGTAACACCTGTTAAGGCTGAAAATAAGCCAAGGTATTTACCAACAAGCTCCTTGCTTTTTCTAGCACTAATGTTGTAGTGGTTGTTAAGATTGGAGTTTTTCAATATTCTATTAAATTCATTATTGGACTGTTGGGGTTCTGATTAATTTATTTGATATTAATAAATACGACATATATACTTCATAAAAATCGGGTCCAATTTATTCCAAAATTTAATTATTGTTATCGTTTGACTATAATTATGTAACGGTTGAAATATTTTTCTATAAATTACTATAAATACTAAACTACTAATCCATTATATTACTGGATAACTCCATTATTTTCATAATCATAATGCCTATTATATTTTATTTAAGACATAGTATCTGTTGTTGCTACTGTTTCTGTTTCCCTGATGGTCTTATCAAACCACATGTATTTTGAGCACATTGAGACACCTTTTTTTTGAGTGTAACTGACCCTTGTTTACAACAGCACTCGTCGTTCTGTCATAAAATTGACTTGAGTCTGAATGCGTTTACTCTCAATTTCTGGCCTCTCCTATGTCATGGCTTGATATTTGTTTCGTATGTATTGAATTTTCCATTGCAATTGCTATTGATAAATTCATGAGCTGGCTATTCTAGCTAATTGTTTATAATACATACTATACTATAACTTTAACGATCAGAATTATATTTGTCCAACTACTATTGCCTCATGGTCAGTCTCTTGCTATCATTCTCTGTCTTGCACTCACAAACAACTGCTTCTAGTGTAGTTTTTATATATATTTTGTTGCCATTTAATCTTTTTCATTCTTTGCAAGACTTCTCCACATTGTTGCATTTAACATGTAAAGTGAAATTAAATATTAAAACAGCTTACACCAGCATCAAAAATTGGGAGAACACATTTTTTTAAATGGCATGCACGGCTGCAACGGGTATACACGTTTCTCTTGATATATAAATAAATATAAATATGTACGTATGTACAGAATTGTGAGTATGAATGTACTTACACATACACACACTTGTCATGAATATTAACACTGTTTTCAATTAGTATTATTTATTTTTTCCTTGTCTAGGGCAGCATTTTAAAATTATTTCTCTGTCTCCCCAAAAAAGTATTCTATAGTTTTCAATACGTCCAATTTTTTGTCACTTTCCAGTCATTGATAGGAAAGTTTTTCAGCAATTTCAATAGCTGCACATTTTTGACATGCACATACAAATTTGTACTGATATGCCTCCCCTTCTGTGAAATTTTGATCAACTCTGTTGCATTTTAATTGCATATTGATTTTTTTAATGTTTGAAACACCCTTCGTTAAATGTCTTAGTTAGTTGACTTTGCACCAAAAAATACTTGCAAAATATCTAGGCCGCTAGTGAATGATAGACTTCTTCTCCCAATATTATTTTAATAGTTTCCTTCTTGTTGTTGTTGTTGTTGTTGTTTTTTTTTTGTTTTTTTTTTTTTTTTTTTTTTTTTTTTGTTCATCTACTTGTAGGCATTTGTATTTACAATATGTTGACATTTTTCTATTGCAGGACTGCTAGTCCCATTTTATTATACTCTGTACATGAAATGTACAAGAGTATATTAGGTTTGCGGGAGCTGAAAAATGTAACAGGCAGAAGGAGGCGTGGCAGACCCCACAAAGTATATATATTCTTGATCAGCATGACGAGACGAGTCGATCTAGCCCTGTCTGTCTGTCTGTCCGTCTGTCCGTCCGTATGAACACCTGGATCTCAGAGACTATAAGAGATAGAGACACCAAATTTTGCACGAAGATGCGTTATGTGTGTATTCTATACGAGTTTGTTTTATTTTTTTGATTTTCCCCCCCACTTCCCCCCTATGGGGGTTTTCCCGATTTTCCATTCGTATAATCGCCTATATCTCGGAGACTATAAGACCTAGGAACACCAAATTTTAGTCCCAGATGCCTTATGTGAATACGCAGAAAATGTATATTTTGGAATTTCCCTCCCTCCCCCCTCTTCCCCGCAAATCGTAACTCCCGTAATTCTTGGAATTTCGAATTTTCGAATTTTGGAAATACCCCCAGTTAGTTATTATATGTCCGTATGCCAAATTTCATTATGATAGACCGATTTAACAAGAAGTTATAGCCATAAATATATTTGCTGATGCAGCGCTGCTCAAGCGCTGCCCGCGGCTGTTGTTGATGTTGCTGTTTGGTTGACTGCGAAAATGCTTACACAGACACGAATTGATGCGCATAGGCATACATACACTCACACAGACGCAATTGCTATGTAAATGTGCAATTATACACCCTTTACGTGAGTTCGAATACCGAGAGAGGTAAAATCGATCAAATTTTTTTTTGTATTTTCTTAATTTTTTTTATTTTCTATAATTATTGTAAACATATGTACAGAGTATTTCAAAGTCGGGACACCCGACTTTAGCTTTTTTACTTGTTTTTGTCTTGTTTAAGTTCAATTTATCTGGGCAAACGAAATTCCAAAATTTCAAAAATTAATGATATCAATTATTTCTAGAACCAAATATAGATGTCCTTTAATGAATATTGAATAAATTTAAGAAGATTCACAGTGTACGACTTTTACTTTTATGAAGCTTAGAAACATTTTTGAGCAGAATTCAGGAAAGATTTGAATTTTATTGAATCAAGTTTTTCCATATGCCTTTTCCATGTATTAGTAACATTAATCCTATTGCCTTTAAACTTAACGATATAATTTAATCAAATTTAATTTGGATTTTGTTTTATCACAGTTGACCGTTGTATTTCCTTGCTTATAATTTGAATGCCAATATTTCACTGCTCGCTACTATTACAATTAATTCCTAGTGTTTTGCCTTGAGCACAAAATTCGCCATTGCACAGAGTATTGAGTATTCTTCTGAAAGTCACGATGTGAACTGTACAAATATTATATGTTTTATTTTTTTTTCCTTTTCACATCCTACCTAAATGGAGGGAATATCCGAAAAAACAGTCATCACCAGAACATTGTGTCATTCATTTGAAAGTTTTGGTAACCGAATTTTCAAGCTGAAACCCATTAAGTTTTTCTTCTTATTAGAAGCAAAAGGCTCCACTTGAGGTTTACTAATTGTAATTAAATATTCTCAGAATGTTAAACTACTTTAGGCCTTTCTAGACCATCTGAAATATTTGATTTGTAACACCTTATAGATGTTTTAATCTTTAACCTTTATTTACGATCTCTTCATGGACGACAATTATTTCCCTTTAGCTCGTTGAGCAATGCCCACCTTGATTTGTAAGATGTGGATCAAAATATCTTTGGCAGAATAGCAAACTAAACTATAAACAAAATAATTGGAAATGAGAGTACAGAACAGTCAATGTCTATGTGAGAATCAGTCTATTACTCTATTAGTATTTAAGCCATTTCTTTGTCATTTAAACTACTTGTATATACAAAACTACATCAATTTTGAGACACATTAATAACAAGAATAATAAAACCATAAAAAGTGTAACAAAATAATTCTAAATTATTTTAAATAATAATAAAAATAAAATAATAATAAAATAATAATTCTCATAAAAAGGAGAAGGAAACAATTTCTAAAACAAACAACAGTCAAAAACAGTTAACAAATCCAGTGATATACTATTACATGCACGTATAGATTTAAATTGTACCATAAAAGCAAACATTAAAATTACAAATTGAAAAACGAAAGTGAATCGGGGTGCATCGAAAAAGCTCTCCCTTTCTCGTATTTAGGAAAATATGATTTTGAGTTTCATATACTTTTTGAGATAACTGATTTTATGCAAAAGCGTGGCTGTATCAATATATCAATCATCAAACTGACATTTATCTTACATTCGTACTAAGCTAGCATACCCGTTTTCCCCCTTTCGTACAGTGTGTAATTACACTTTTTATTACATACATATTTATACTCTCTTATTCTATGCTCTCTCGCAAACATACCGAGAGCGTGTTTACAGTTAATCTTAAATGTATGTATGCATATGTACAGTGATCTTAGATGTTAACAATATTGCTACAGTATGTTTATATACAGTGGTCTTACGTATTAACTATATTACTACAATATATTTTAATTATTTAGTACAGCTCCTGATCATACTTGAATATAATTAATTAACGGCCTTCAAAATGTAAATTGTAAATGTTTAAAAAGAATTTTGCGGCTTTAAACGCAGTACTCTTGATTATGATGGCACATATTTAATCAAAATATGTACATATGTCTATTACCTTTTCCCTTACCCTGGCTCCACTCGATGAAAACTTCTTTGCACATTTTGCTTTCGCATATGGCTGGAAAAAAAACAAACTAATAATTAAATGCATTGTCTATACTTTAAATGTAACTCGGCCAAGGTTTTGAAAGCACTGGCTATTGAAAACAATATGATACTAATTTCATTGAGTCTAGACAGTTGTCATTTGCATAGTAAATGGCCCCTTGAAGTCCAATAAAAGCACCAATGCTGACCGATTTCAATTTCAGTCGCAAATATGTCGGAGTCGGTGGTGATTTTCAAGGACTTCATGCGTCTTGCTCTATTCTTTTACAAGACAATTGGCATCGACCCGTGCGAGCCCAATGATATCAGTGGAGCTGTAAAGTTCTGGCATTATTTTAACTTTTTGCTCAACTTGGGAAATCTAAACTTTGGCATTATCTGTGAAATTGTGTATGTGGTTCGAGCATTCAAGAACAACGAACACTTTATAGAGGCCATCATGATGTTGTCATGCATGGGTTACTCTTTAGTTGGCGAATGCAAGATGATCAGCGGGTGGAGACAAAAGACAAAACTCAGCGAGCTGGTCCAACAATTGGAGAATATGTTTCCTAGTCAACAACAGGAGCATCAACGGCACTATAAAGTACATCGATATCTAAGACTTTGTCGCCTGGTAACGCGAGGATTCAGCGGAATGTATGTTCTCCTCATTGCCACTTACAGTCTTGGAGGTATTATAATTTATTTTGTGCTTTGGCCTAACGGCGAGAGAACACTTCCCTATACACCATATGCTCCATGGGATTGGCACGACAACTGGACCTTCTATCCATTGTATGTATCTCAGGCCATAGCTGGATTCACGGCCACGTCAGGACACATTTCCAGCGACGTAATGATCTACGCCGTTTTGACACAAGTGATAATGCACTTTGACTATTTGGCCACCAGTTTCGAGAGCTATACGATTCAAGCAGTCGATCTAAAGGATAGGCATTCCAAAAACATGCAAGAATTGCAAGCGAAGATTATCTATCACAACAAACTGCTAGAGTAAGTCATCTGCTAAGGGATATGAATGTAATTTCTTTACCTCCTTCCCCTTGTTACAGCTTTGTGGATGCTATCAATGTTATCTTCGGTGTTCCCCTTCTGCTCAACTTCTTTGCCTCTTCAGTGGGTATATGCTTTCTGGGTTTTCAAATGAGTATTGGACTTAGTCCTGAAATGGGCATTAAAGTGGCATTCTTTTTAGCATCATCCTTGGTGCAAATATATCTTATTTGCTACTTCAGTCAACTGTTAATTGATGCGGTAACTATATGTATAACGAAATTTCAGCATTGAATACTATATGTAAATATATTTAAGAGTGCCAATATATCCACCGCCGTATACAATGCAGACTGGTCTGGTGCAGATGTACGTTATAGGAAGATGCTTATTCTAATAGCTCAGCGAGCACAAAGGCCCGTTAATCTCAAAGCTACTATTTTTTTAGACGTTTCTATGTGGACCATGACAGAGGTAATCCGATCCTTGTCTTTCATTCTCTATTTTCCACAAAAGTGTCCTTTTTATATTCACAGTTCGTCCAAATGTCCTACAAGTTTTTTGCTCTACTACGAACCTTATACAGGATATAATTATTGTTTTTTATTTTCGATATAATAATAATAAACATAACTTAAAAAGTTGTCGGAAAAATGTTCGAAAATAAACTATTGTCTTACGATCAAGTGCTAACTTATCTTGAACATTTCACAATAGGGTGAACAATTGACTAACAAAAGTGGACCATAGTCGAGTGTGCAGTCTTATAGGACCATGCTGTTCTATTAGAGAACGAGCGTAAAAATAAGGCATTACAACTAATTACTTAAATTGGAATAGGATTCCATATAAAGGTACCGCATTTAATCTCTTGAATTCAACACCAAAGTGATATAAGAATAGGAAAAAATACTAATTAAGCATGCGATGGAAGCCAAAGTAAGAAACTAACTTGTAAGAGTAAACACTAAATACATATAACACTATTGTATTGATTCCCATTTCAATATTAATTTTCGTAATATTAATTTTCATCATCATAATAATACTCATCTAAAGTATTACGTTAAGTGTAGAAAAAGTCAAAAAAAAAGTAAAACAATTCTACAAAAACTTAAAGGTTATGCATTAACGACATAGAACACGTTCGATCAAAGGAACCAATAGACACCATCTGAATATCTGCTCAGCATATTTTATTTTAATTCCATAGTATCTAAACATAGCTGGCCGGATGGCAATGAAAAGTTGTTTTTGGATTGAATTTAAATTGCTAAGACGTAATATTTTCTTACCTATGCATATTGGCAGCATATATCGGTAGACTCTACTTTAAGGATTGCCTACATAGATGCAGCGAGGACAAATTGAAATTACCTTTTAAGCATTTTTCATTTCACTTTCGAATGAAAATTTAAAAACTCTTTAAAGCGACATTAAACGCTGGAACACCTAGTTCTTCTTTCTTTTTTGCAGTCTATCAATATACTTTGGGTGGAAAAAAAAAAGTAAAACAATTCTACAAAAACTAAAAGGTTATGCATTAACGACAGAACAAGTTCGATCAAAGAAACCTATAGGCACCATGACGATATCTGCTCAGCATATTTTATTTTAATTCCTTAACACTGATTTTAAAAGAATTAAAGTGACTCATATATTTTTGAGAAGACCTGACGCGGCTTACGTCCACACTTTTCTTTTATACTATGCATATTATTTTAATTATTATTCATACTCGCAGCCCATGGCATCTATTTCTCGCCTTACTCTCCGTCATTTATATTCGATAGTATCTAAACATAGCTGGCCGGATAGCAATGAAAAGCGACATTAAACGCTGGAACACCTAGTTCTTCGTTCTTTTTTGCAGTCTATCAATATACTTTGCGTGGAATTTCCCTGCCATCCCATGCAACATGTATTATTGAGCTAACCGGCTGACCTTTGGCTCCCAACGTACAATTTCGCACAGGATTACGGCTGAAAACAAAAGCCGCTAGAGACTTATGGCTGCACACACCCACACACATACGCACACACGCAAATAGTATCCGCCATAACAAATATATTGTATGTGCACTGTGTGATCTAAATTATGGAATAAAGGCACATTCCAGCGGGAAAAAGTGCGCACCCAAACACACACACACACACACATCCGCCCATTTACAACAGTAGCGATGTATTGAAAAATCTTGGTGCTGTTGTTGTTGTTGGAGATATTCGTGTTGCCATTTGAAAATCACACAAAACGTGACCAGAAATTAAATGTATCACATTTTGAGCTTTATAAAAATTTCATAAAAATGAAATATAAATCCCCACACACGCATACACACATACTCACACACATTCTACAACAAAGAACTACCTAATATATATACGAGCGTATATAAAAAATATATATTTTTTAGACGACATACACTCACATGTAGGTATTTAGGAAGGCAAGCTGTTAGTGTGGGCAAGTCGAAAAATAGATTTTAATATATTTTCTGCGCATGGATTTGCAGTGTGGCAGTTGTTTGGCGAATTGCGAGGCACTGAAGCGTAAGTCCTGGGGGACGAGGGGGTGACAGGTGTAGTGAAAATTCGTCAAAATGAAAATTGGCTGATGCTTTTGCTGCTGCTCCTACTGCACCTCGACATAAGCACAAATATGGTAGCTCCTTTGCTTGCATCCTGCCGCAAACTACTCTTTCACTCTGCACTCAACTCGTTTTGTCGACACTCGCACACTTCACCGCATAAATTGTTAATATAGTTGAGTGCGTAGCCGACATACATACATATGTACATACATATTTACAAACAAGCACACATACTTATATACTAAGATGCGTGACGGTCGTCTCTTACAAACTGCATTACATGCCATCAAAAACGGCTTGTTCAGAAATGTCGATGTCCACTGCTTCAAACGTATGTTGACGCTGGAACTGCTAAGAAAACAACAACAATAATAAAAATTCACACACACATTTAAACACTTACTTATATATACAGTATACTATCAAATCGAAAAACTCATAAGCGCAACTTTTGTGCATCGTAGCGTAAAATATACTTGAAAAAAAACTTACATTTGCTTTTAGTGATGTTGTTGTTGCTTTGGTTGCTCTTGTTGCTATATGAGCAAAAGATTTTCACCAAAGCTGAAAGCAGCTCAAATGCATTTTCAACTAAATATATATGTTTGCTCAGAAGCATCAGCTCAAATCGTTGCAGGTCCTGTAGCTCAAAGCAGGCGCCTAAGCAAACAGCAGCTAAAAGTATGCAATAGTTTTTTTTCTCTGCTGCTCCGACTCTAAATGTGTCCCATGGCCGCCCAATATGTGAGCCTTGATTCTAAAATGGCCAGCATAGAATGGTGTATATGGTTATGGCACATGCGCCCGCATAATTAAACTACGAAGTAAGCTGCGTTGCTGTCTCACTTGAGCCTTTGAAAGCGTATAGAGATTTACGAGTAAGTGGTGCAGGATTCAAAAAAAATAGCAAGACGCTTGGCACGGAACCGAGTCAGCTTCTAAATCAAGTTCAGCATTTGAAATGCCAAATTCTCTCGCAACGAAAGAGTCCATCTTGAGAACCATTTACAATTTTTTCCTTGCTGCCATCAACCAGAAACTATCAGCCCTAAGACGTTCCTATGGTGATCGAAAAAACTTTAGAAAATGCAATTTTTTGGTAAATAATTAATCTAACATTGTCATGGTATAATCGTATATAGATATTTTAGCTGTTGTCCAAGATAATACTAAACGGTAATTTTATTGATAGTACTCGTACATATTTCGTCAAGTAATAATGAATTGTTCAGTTAGAAATAATAAAACCATGTCCAAAGACTTTTGAATTTTTGTAAATTGCCTCAATTATTATTGTGATTGTACGTTTTTGAACCAATAGCTTAAATTCGTATTTTTATTTAATTAAAAAAGTGAAAATTCAAAAGAACTATAAAGACTCTAAACAATTAGTATTAAAGAACTGCAACATTTTTGGAATCAATACTCGTACATGCCATGTCTGTAGTTAAGATAAGCAACTTATGGTCGTGTAAAAAAATCTGGATCCCAATAATTTATTTGTTTCAATAATAACTCGAGATTGAAAAGAACTCCAACCGTAATATTTTCATTTATTCAATTGATGCTCTTTGGCTAAGCAGAAGGAGTGACAAGTGGTTGTCGAAAAGAATGCAAGCTCTAACCCGTTATAAAGGATATGTTTCAATATTTATCACAGTATTTTCGTATAGTGTGCTGCGAAAAATTTATATAAAGAAGCGATGAAAACCAACAAACGATAACGAATACAGACTTCCGAAAATGGTCCCACATATAAGTCCCCAAAAATACTACAAAATAACATAATTGTTTGAGGAGATATTATTTACTGTCATATATTTATAAGTTGAATTTGAATTTAAACTGAATTAACGAAATGTATAACTGAATTTTGTCTGGAAACGCCAGTTATCTTAATTGTTTATGCATCTCCTTCGCTGTAGGCTTTGTCATGCCTGCACTAGCTCTTTATCATTAGTCTAGTATCGACTCGCTTCTGTAATGGTCGAGCCCAGTCTCGACTCGATAACGCAATTGGATTAAATGCAGTGGAGTTTATTATAACGTTTTACAAAACCCAATAAAGTGTATTTATTTGGGCACGTTGTACATGGCAAATGTGGAACGTGGGAAGCTACTTGGGAGTGCAAGGCGAATAACTAATTTTGCTGGATTCTGCAGCTACAATAATAACTTCTCCTATGGCTCTTGACCAAGTTGAAAATCTCTCTTGGGCTAAAGGAAAAAAACATGTTTACCTTGAAATAAAATAAATATGCTTAAGTGCATTTATGCAGTTTATTTTCTTAGACTATTTGTTGTACATTGTGCGTAAAAGGGCAAAAAACTTATATGATAGTTGCAAGAGCTGCAAAGAAAAGTAAATTCAAGTTTTTGAAAATATGTTTATGTGGCTTTTTTTCAACTTACATCGGTCATGGAGCCTCTATTGATTTGCATAAATACCGTGGCCTTCAGGAAGGCAGGCTTTTGAGCGCGTTTTATTATCAGAGCAATCGATTTTTTATATCGAACATCCGCGTCTAGCCATTGCTGCTTATAAACCGCTTTCGAGATGCCGAAGCTCTGCAAATACAAGCAAATAGCAAATAGGACCCTATACTTATGTACATATTTGATTTAAAGCAAATTTATTCTTACCGCGTCCTCAACCAATTGGCCATAATGACAAATCAAATAAACCTGGCACATAGAGGATACCAAGAAAAGTGTCAACTTGATCATTGTATCCAATGACACACCCACAGTCATTTGAAAGCCCACAAAGCAAATGACAAATGAAGAAACCAAAAAGTTCAGTAGTAGAGGTACTCCAAAAATATGATTGATTCTTGCAGAAAGGGAGAGCAAGCGCTCGTGATAGCGCACGGTGTGGATCAAAAATTCCGAGTTCTGTTGCCAACAACCTTTGAGCTTCTTTTGCTCAATTTGTCTCGCCAGATAATCATAGTGCATGATGAGTTGTGAGGCCACTGCGCAGAGCAGCAGATCAGTAGAGATTTGTCCTGCAGCCGATGTATAACCAGCAAAGTTTTGCATAAAGAACAGCAGGTAGTATGACCAATTATCATAATTTTCCCAGGGTATGTACATGAAGTAGGGCAGCGTCTGGTCCACCACTCGCGTTTGCAGCAAGCGCTCGTATAACAAATATTGCATAATACCAAAAAGATTGTATGTCCAAATGAGGACACTGTAGAGCGTGGCAAATCCAATACTAACCCATGCACAGAAACTCTGATACCTTTGTAATCTATAATCTTGCTGCTCCGCCACAGTACTAGGATAAAGCTGCTCCAGTACGTGCATGAATTCACTCAGCGCTGACTTTTTCCACCACACAACCAACATCTTGGCAATGCCCACAATGACGAAACCAATATAGGACATGGTCATGATGGCCTCAACGATGTGCTCGCCCGTGGCGAAAGCAATCAGAACATAGACTATCTCAGCCAGCATTATCAAAAGCAAATTGATGATGTTCGCCCAGTAGACGATGTTGAGCCACGCACTGTACTCGGCGGGACGCGAAATTTTTCTGTATGGCTCGATGCCCACGCATTTGTAAAAGAAGTTGGCATACTTCATAAAGCTATCGATTTTTGTTTGCGGCATTTTGCGCGCCTTCCGCTATGCTACAAAAATTTCAAAACTTTCACAATGCGTGTCGCGCTGCAAACGCACGTACTTTTATATGCCAGCATAATGTTCACACACATACATGCATATATAGATTTATACATTTTATATGTGATTATGTTGTATATCTATTTGACTTTTGTCAGATTTATTATGCATTGAAATTACAGTTTACAGTCGCGAGGCGTGGACAGTCGACGACTCACGATTTCCGATGCGCATTCAATTTAGCTTCACAAACATACATTAAATATGCCTAATTATGGGTTGGACTGGCATATTATCATTGTCCACTGACCCATTTAATTATTATTTACATTTTATTTTGGTTGTTTTCGGCTGCTTTGTGGTTGAATAATATTGGACTAGGCTCTCTAAATAAAGAAATCGATGTCAAAATGCGTATATAAACACCACTTTAAGTAATTGTGCTCTTTCGTTATGTTTAAAATAAATCTAAAAAAAAAATACCCTAAGAATTAAAGAAAAATTAGAGCTTAGAAGCTAGTACTAATGGAGGCCTCGCTAAATAGTTCCAGTCAGGAAATACGAACTGGGGAGACAACTAGAGGCATTTTTTGTCTTAAAGGAACGTAGTATAGGAGTTTTACAAAACTAATTACATTAAGCACGACACATGTATTTGATGATAATAACACAAATGCATACAAGATGCGTCCAAAAGCAAACGAAATTTCCTTAAAATACACAGCAATTTCCATGATGATGTTTGAGGTCCTCGGCAGGGCTGTCAAAGGTGCAAGTCGCCCAGATTAAACAAATTGGCTTTATAGCAATTAAAAAGACATAAATGAGCATTTCATTTATATTTATGCGGAACAGTCCATTTGATAATATTTTCCGTATAAATACGCATTTCTGATGGTATTTACGGTTCGTACGATTTTCTAATCAATACAAGTATTTAAACTTGTGTGTTGCTTAGGAGAAAAATCAACACCATGAGTTGGCATTGCTAATTAAACTTTATTAATGCATGTTTTCCCAAGAATAAAGAGTTTCCAATTTCTTTGAAACTCATTTTTCGATCAGTGCACAATCATATGAGCACTTTCGCTTCAAATATTTTGAAATGAAAAACTTCAGACTCTTCTAACAAACTAAGTCGTATAACTGTTACAACGCCTAAAATACCGAGCTATTTAAAAAGATTTCCTCTAACCCAAATGCGTTAACATGATCTGCTAGACGTTTGAGTTTGTTTTTGTTATGCATTTTATTTGAATTGAGAATGGGGTACACCCATTAAAATCCATTTTATTTGGAATATAATAAAATATAACAGTTTTAGTTTACATCTTTCCATTTGTTATTTATGATGGCGCACTTATTTTGTTTTCACGAGCTGCTTTAATACATTTTTTTAAAATAATTAATGTGGTATTAAAATGAGCAAATAAAGTGAAAAGGCATATTAAGAATAGAAATTCAGTTTTAGCTAATTTTGCACTTCAGTTCACACCCGATTTCAGAATTAAAGTGTCGCTGAATTTATGTCTTTTTGGAAACCTGTACAAAAGGAAATAGCTTGACGTAACGTGATATTGTTGGGCATATATGTAAGCTCGTATTTTGCCATCTTCTTTATGGGTAAGCATTGTAAAGCTCTAATTCCGTGCCACTCAGGCACACACATCCTCATGCACGCATATACAGTGAGCCGTCACAATAGATCACTTCAAGATGTAATCGATTCACAACGAAAACGTAATAACATATATATATACTTGTATATATATGTATATACGAACGTACAAGCAGTCAGACAATAAAAGCAAACCAAACGAAATGATGGCAAGAAAAACGCGAATCAAATTGAAACGTTTAAATAAATGCAATCAGCACACACAGCAAAGTCAGCCAAACCAAACCAAACAAAAATCAAACTCAAAACCGAACCGAACTGAAAGCATAGCTATTTGTCGAATTGGGTCCGATGGTTGGATTGGGAATAGTCGCTCCGAGTCCAAAATGAAGCGAATCGCACAATCATTCACCAATGCGCACTTGAAATAAATTAAATCTTCAACTTTTCGACAATGCAATGTGGTGGAAAATAAAACGAAAATCAAATAAATTACGCACATAAAACACGTTAACCCAATTATATGTCTAGCGCAGTGTTGGCCAAAAGAACTACAAAATACACACGCGGAGAGGTTGGGGTAGACAGGCCGGTTTCGTTAAGCCATCCTTGATGGCTGCATGTGTGGAAGCCAGTGTTATAAATGTAGATATGCCGACGAGTGATGAGTGAGTCGCACATGCAAAGGCCGCCCAAAAAAGTATGCTATGCCATGCATAAAACGCCAAAGCAAGGCGCAAAAGTGAAATGCAAACAAAGCCACGCACACACACATACGCTCGAATGCAGGTGGAACCGCGAGAGCAAAAACGGCAAGCAAAGAGATTTCAGCTAAATGGGGAAAACAAAGCGCACTGCAAAATAAAGAGTGCAGCGCAGAAAAAAATAACAAAAATCCGCCAAAACTCAGACAGGCAGGGGCAACGAACATTTTAGCCATTTATCACACGCGTACATCATTCGGCGAATCCAAAAGAAAAGACTGAAAACTAAAACCAAAGCATGCACTTCCCTGCAGTAAAACAAACTAGTACTGGGCAACGGGCGAATATGTATATACTTAGATTTAGTTATAGGATTATATTAGTAAGAGGCTTAACAACTTTTAGGATGATGCCGGAATATTTTTCGATTATTTGCAAGGGGTCTTTGAGTTTATCAACTTATCAGTGCTGCCAAATATTCTGTTACAACACTATACTCAAATGCTGCCAAATATTCGTTTCTAACACATCACTTAAGTAAGCAGCAGAATGCTATGGAAGCCGCAGAGCATTTTGAAATTATTTTCTTCAAGATCATTCCAAATCCTCTAATTTATCCGTAGCTGTAAAATGCCAAAGCAAATAAACTGCTTCGCTATCAAATTGTCAATAATTTTGCAAAAATTGTGATGCTATCCAACACTTACGAAAACAAGTAGCTTTGTTGTTATTATAAGAAATCAATAAATTATTTAATGTCTGGATATACTCGTATACTGGAAAAAATCGGAGAAAATGGATTTTAATAACAATTCGCGCAAATAAAGTAAAACCTTAGGCAGAATTGAATAAGAGTGGAGAAATGCTTCGGCCTCAGGGAAAAGCGAATGTTGGAACATACTTAGTAGCTCACAACAAATTTAACATATGACATACTTTTGTAAATAATTGTCAAGTATTATGCTTTTGAAAATGGCAATGAAACTACACAACTATGAACTTCAGTGCATGAAAAGTGTACTCTTTTTAAGTGAGTTAAGGAGAACCTATTTTGTTCCCAGCCTTTCAAAGGCAAATCTCCATCACTGATATTAATGCATAACGCCTTTAACTTCTTTTAAAATAATATATGTGTCTTTTTGATTAGAATTTCTTACTTATTATTAAATACTTATTAAATATTTCAGCTCATAAATTAGTTCGTAGTTCATCATTTCATAATTTAGTTGTGGTTTCAGGCCAGTAGGAAGCACTATTTGGCATACAATATTTTTAACATCCAATATTCTTAATCCACTTCAGCCAATGCTAAAATAATGCAATTTAAATTTCTAGTTATGTCTTAAATTTAGGAAAGATTTATTTGTATGTACGCGATTTATTTTCTATACAGAACAGTTTGAAACCTAGTTGCAAAGCTAGTACTCAAGGTTTAAAACCTCAAAGCATGCATAGGTAGGCCGCACTACGAACAGATTTTCGCATGTACTTGTATTTGTTTATAGAAGGTGGTGGGATAGAAGAAGCACAACTACAACAAAGTAAAAATACAATTAAACCATTGGGACCTATGGCCAAAACTTTGCAAACACGGCGCTTAGGTGAAGTGGCGCTGCTCTGGCCAGCAGGAGAGCTTCCTGTTTCATTCTACACATATTATGTGGGAATGTGTGCACGGAAAGTAGCCAAGTTGTTGCACAACACAAAGGAGTATGACAAACTTTTGGCAAGAAAAAAGTTTTATGAGCAGCGAACTAATTTTGTGCGACTTTTACATGCGTTGCTTTGGCTTCAGAGTTTGCTCCTTAGCGCCGTTGAGGAAATTGAACGAATTGATTTGGAGTTCTTCGAAGATTGGCAACTCGTGCACCTGCAACTGAGTCCCACTAGACGCATGTAAGTGTATTCGTGTGTACCGAATTTGCATTTTGAAGCAAACTTCAACAAGAGTTTCGCGTGTTGACCTTTTTAGTTGGCTGCTTCTACTGGGCGAGGGAATCGAATCTTGGGTCCTGATACACACACATAACTGCTTATTACGTACAAACTAGTGTAATCTGTAATATTAATTTAAAAAGCTATTATCTTATACACCCGTGTATATCTAGTCTATAAAATGCGTTCATGCTCCTACTTGGTAAGCCTCGCCAACGCCGATCTACGTTTAGTTTTTGTTTGCTTCCGTTTGGCATAACTGCCAAAATATCCGTACAACTTAACTTAGCGCCGGACACAATATTGCCAACAAAGCATCCTGATTGCAGCCCCTTTCAGTACACTTTCGTCCTGAGCACTAACGAAACTGCGATAAGTAGTCCTCGTGGTGGTAATCAGCTGTTCGGATTCGTTGCAGGCCTTCAAATTTATGCAGGGAACCATATGTTTCTCTTCACGGATCTTTCGCATCTTGTATGGCGGCATGTTGATGTGACGTCTGACGCTGGGTGTGAGAATTTCGGGTATAACCCAGAGACGTTGGGCAACATCGCAACATAGTCATCGCTAGAGACTTGACCAGGCCCCTTGGCTGACAATGCTGTGGGCTGGTGGGTCCAACTTACTGAGTTATTGAGAATGCACAATGGTCCCAAAGTAGAGAGCAAAGCGAACAGTCATGATTTGATAAAAAAAAGAGCATACTGCAACGGTCATAGAAACCAATATTTTAATTATTTAGTGCAGTTCTGAGAGTTTTACAAAGCCCTGAAAGTCGGCTATTTATTTTAGTGAACATATGGTAAAAGCCCAATTGAAACAATTAAAGTAAAATATAGAAAATACAAGTAATATTCAAAGTATGTTTAATATAATTGTGTTTAATTTAGTTGTGTATATGTGCTCCTTCGTTCCATGTGTTTTTGTTATGCGATGTTTTTGGCAAGCTTTGTTTCGTGGAGTAAAAGTTGAAGGATTGTCATGGATAGCACTGAATGGAATATTGTTCATTAAAGTGTCTTCTTAGCGATGATCTAATACCGAAGTTAGTAAAAGTCGGCCTTATCTGTTATATGACAGCTATATGAATTAGTGGCCCAAACTGAACCCAACTTATGGCGTCTTATTACATATTATAACTTATTATTATTATTTCGAATTTATGCCCACAAATTTGGATTTCGGACCAGTGTGCGTTGGTGCGATCATCAATAAGGAGTTTGGAGTTTGCTGGGCTAGTAGCCCTCGAAATCGGTATTAACTTTTAATATCTGTTATCGAGATGACTGACATAAACTTGCATACGAATTTCAGGTAGGCCAGATAGCTGCCATTTAAAACCGCACCTTAGTCCTCACATTGTCAAACTAGTCCTGAAAATAGATCAGCGGCACTACCAGTTGATTGTTGAGCACTGTATAGGACACCATAGACTTCTTGCCACATTTCGGTGCAGAAACTACTCCGCACCACCAGATATTTTTGTTTGAATAGATCGCATCCAAGCTTCCTATCACAGTGCCTATGATTGCCAATAGATAAAGGGTATTGAGACCATTATTATTTTTATCTTCTTTAAATGGAAGGCGGAATAAGTTCGATTCTATTGCTTTATGATCAATTTACCTTTTCTTCCAGTAGCTGCCCACATTGACCCACAAAGTGAAGCTGAAACCAATCGGAAAATAAAATCAATTACGCTGAACCTTATTTCTACTCCATAACATTTCTGTGGACATTTGATCCGCTTCTGGAGTACAGCCTGCAAAATTCTGCACATAAAGGAGTGCGTAGCACGGCCAATAATGCTGTCATACCTCGGGCTTAAACAGAAAGCAGGGCAACGTTTATCCCACAACTCGCGAGTCCAGGCAACGCTCATAGATCAAATACTGTAAATTGCCGAGCAAATTATACGTCCAGATGAGCACGCAATTTTGAAACAGACGCGCGAACAGAAGCGTAAATATTCCGACGGTTCGTACGCCTTCTGCTGTAGTCCTGCTCTGCTGTTAGTTCCGTGACAACAACTGCTCCAGTTCGTGCATGAAATGTCTGAGCTTTGGTTTCTTGTGCCGCACAAACAACAACTTAAGCATGCCGGCCAGTACGAAGTCAATGTTTGATAATGTGTACACCCTTGGCTGGGACATGGGGCACGTACAGCGCCCCATCGAGGAGCACCAGGCAGAGGTTCACAATGTTTGCATAGCAGATACACTTCGACAAAAGTGTGCCTCTGGCGCCGGCCTGAACATCATCCACTCGTTGTTTATGCTCCAATTGCTCTTTTTGTCCCTGGTCGAAGGCCTCCAAAGCCCACATATTGGCTCCGCCATGTCGGTGTATTTGCAATTGACTGCCGAATGCGGGAGCTGCTTGGGCTTTTCTAGATGCGCCCCAAATCCGTGTCCCGGTATTCATTAGTAAGCTAAGTAAGAGTAAGCTATTCGTAAGGCGCTACAAAACGAGCCGAAGCATACAAGTAATGAAATACATAAAAAAACGGAAGCTTGAGATTTGATCCAAATAAGCCCTCAATATCACCCATTTTTAATTTATTTTGTATACCAATTTAAATGCAATACGGATAATTATTATTTAAACTTGGATACATATCTTATTTGTCTAATTTATTTAATATAAAAAAAAAAACTAAAATGTATTCCATTGACATTAAACGACACTCTGTACGGTTATATATTTTTTATTTTATTCGTAAACAAATTCATTTAAAAAAACAAAGCTTAGAAGTTAAAGAAAAATGTTCCTTTTGTGGGAGTTAGGTGCACTGGATTTTAACTTTTCATTCTTATTACTTCTGTTTTAGATTTTCAGCAACTTTGCTCATGATCAGATAAATATTTAAACGCAGGCATATGTACATAATTTATATTACAAATATATTAAATTTGGTCTTATCTTATGCAACTTATTCACTTAGCGTACTTAAATAAATAAGTCCGAAACAAGATATCTAATTGGCCAAACCCATACAATATGAATTTTTTGTGGCAAGTCATTTTTTCCGCCTAGAAAGAGATATTTTTAGAAAAAGCTCCTTTCCCAGAAGTAACTTAAGCAGGGGTAGTTTAATGGGTCATTAGATGCACTCGTACATAAGCATTGTGGTGGTTCCTTATTTGCTTTTTATATTACCCTTAAGTCTAGTTAACATTTTGATTATTCAATTGTGCGAAAAATGCACACTCACTTTCCGAAGTAATGGAACTACATTAAAAAAACATTTGTGGAATTCATCTTATACGAGCCTGAATAGCTGTTTGAAAACCCAATACTTTTCGAGATATTTATTTATTATAGTAGTGCTTTAATTGGAATGCAATTCTCTACGTATGTAAATGCTTGTGTGTATTTGTGTTTGTGACACTTGACGCACTTCCTGCAAATTTGTTGAGCTCCCAATTTTATACACATGTATATGCTCGTGCATACATACATACATACGTACTTATAGTATATTTATTGGTGTGCGTGTTTGAATGATTGTATGCATAGCTCTGTGCTCCCCACAGTTGCTTCGTTAGCAAAAGCCACAAATTTCTATTTGATGTGAAGTCTTTGCGGTCTTTACGGACATTTTTGCTTATGGTTGGTGCTCCTTCCGCTTGCCCCTGTTGTCCTCTCCGTCACGTGGTGCTGTGTGTTGACTTATTGCCTGCTAACATTTTGTCCTTGTTGTCTAGTATTGATGGTTTTAAGCTTTCCGTTTGGCAGCTCGCATTTTGGCAGCACAATTTATTCAATATTGATAGTCGAACATCGGTCGCCTTTCAAATAAAACCACAAACAAATGCAGGCAATTAATAAAATGACGACTTTTGTGCAAAATTAATTGTATATTATGCAAACCTTGTTAATAACAGCACATACATCAATGTACAGTGTACACACACATTATGCTTATCGGTTGGGCGCATGGCTCAAGACCTGCTGACCAGAAACAACAACATAGCCTATATATGTGGGAACAATAAAATATTACGACGACAATGACGACAGTGCCAGCCCTTACTGCCTGCCAGCCTGCCTGCCTACCAACCTGCTGCTTCTTGTTGTTGTAATGACCATGCGCACCAATGGGCAAATGAACAATTTATTACCGCTTAATTGAACATACTGAACCTAACCACAGCCAAGCAACGCAACCCAAAACTGGCACCCATGTACACCCACAGGCAGCATCTGAGCTATAGATGGAAATCTGTTAAGATCGTGAGCGTCAATTCACAATAAAACTAAGGGACCTATTATAGTCCAACCCCTTGTACGATTATAACAAAGTTTTTTTTTGCCATTAGTTGTAGTGTTATCTTACATAAAACAGGGCTTGAGCTATGTTTAATTTTAAATAGATCCCTAATTCTGCGCCCAAGGAAATAATATAAAACAAGTTTTAGCTCTTGAAACTCCTGCTGCTTAATTTAAATATGGTAATAAAAACATAATTCAGAACAGCCCGAAATACCATTAAAATTGACCACTATTCAAAAAAACTGCTAGGTAATGTCAAGATGTCCTTTTATAAAATAATGAGCAAATCAGGAAATTATATCTCAAAAATATAAAATACTTTCTGAAATAGAAATGTACTGACTTGTCTTCAATTACCGCCATACCCCATTAAGAAATCATCTCTTAATAATTTGTAATGAGGGCTGGAGTCTCAAATTTATATATAGGACAAGTAAAAAAGCTAAAGTCGGGTGTCCCGACGTTGATCGATTTTACCTCTCTCGGTATTCGAACTCACGTAAAGGGTGTATAATTGCACAAATACAAAGCAATTGCGTCTATGTGTCTGTGTAAACATGTTTGCACTCAAGCAAAGCATCAGCATCAACAACATCTGCGGGCAGCGGTTGGGCAGCGCTTGAGCAGCAAATATATTTATGGCTATAACTTCTTGTTAAATCAGTCTATCATGATAAAACTTGGCATATAATTACAAACTGGGGGTATTTGCAAAATTTTAGTTCGAAATTCCAAGAATTACGGGAGATAGAGAAAATCTCGATTTGCTTGGGAGAGGGGGGAGGGAGGGGAATTCCAAAATACACATTTTCTGCATATTCACATAAGGCATATTGGACTCAATCAAATTTGATATCCCTAGGTCTTATAGTCTCCGAGATATAGGCGATTATACGAATGGAAAATTGGGAAAACCCCCATAGAGGGAAGTTGGGGGGAAAATCAAAAAAATAAAACAAACTCATATAGCGTACACACATAAGGCATCTTTGTGCAAAATTTTGTGTCTCTATCTCTTATAGTCTCTGAGATCCAGGTGTTCATACGGACGGACAGACGGACTGACAGACAGACAGGGCTAGATCGACTCGTCTTGTCACGCTGATCAAGAATATATATGTATACTTTGTGGGGTTTGCCACGCCTCCTTCTGCCTGTTACATTTTTCAGCTCCCGCAAACCTAATATACTCTTGCACATTTCATGTACAGAGTATAACAAGAAAGGAATGCTAAAGTCGAGCGGACTTTACTCTTAAATACCCCTTACCGCCCCACAAAAACAAACAATAATTTAGTATATTTAATTTAATTTATAATAAAATGTTCAACACGCGTTCATCCAGATGGACAGACAGACGGGCAAGGCTATATCTACTCGTCTTGTCGTCCTGATCAATAATATGTACTATACATATATACTTTGTGGAGTCTGCCACGCCTCCTTCTGTGTATTACAAACATTGGCACAAAACTTATATAGCCTTTTAGCCTTGGGTACAAGCTATAAAAATTTTAAACAGACATACATTTTAAAAAATATAATATTACTACAAATATCCCAAAAAGGTATACCCTTTTTACATTAGAAAGCTTCTTCGAACCCCTTATAGTGTACACATATACGAGACAAATAACAAAATAGAGCATATACTACAAGTATAAAGTGTCTTTCACGTACCCATCTTTAGGCCGAACAAATTAATGCTTGCATATGGCCAACATCAACTGGTAACGAGCTCCGGCATTATGTATAAATGAGGCGACCTTACTCTAAGACAAGTCTATAAAATCAACGACAAACAGGGCTGCAGAGCCCACATGAGCAATCGCTGCAGCAGATAGGCAGGCGAGCAAACAGATAGACAGACAGACTGACAAGCAGATGATTCTATTCGTCGGAGACTGCAAATCGGTTCATGCCATTGCCATTAGAGATTTGTTCGGATATTGCTTGCATATTAAGCGCACGCCTCGCTGACCAAATTGATTTTACAAGTGGCGCCAACAGCATTTAAGCAACCTAAGCAACTGGAGCAGATCCGGTCAGTCGAAAGTTCAACACTGGCCAGTGCCTTTTGCTCCCATATAGCCCATGGGTCAAGCAATTACAACAATTATTTTGCCACTGAATGCTGCACTTTTGAAATAAGATCCAGTTTGAAGCAATTAAGAAGCGAACGCACAAAATGTGTCCCTCGGCACTCTGCAGATGTGTGCTAGATAGTGAAAGTTTTATTGGCCCACTAACAACGATGCAAGTGTTGGGGGCAATCAGCGGCATAGTACCTTCTGTCTCGCCCACTGCCTCAACCATTCAGATAGTCAAACATTCAGTGGCATCCGCCCATTGACTTCAAGTGCGTATTTAGCGCTAAGTGACATGTCAGAAGCAAAGATTTATTCCAACAACCTATATCACCTCAAGTAAATTAAGTGCCAACTTATACATATGTACAAACATACAGCCAAGTATTACATATATGCTCGCACTTGAGCTTTGCTATGACCTCCCTCCTCTACCTCAACTCAGAGTGCTTTCATAGCGTATCGTTTGCCATAGTGACTGCCTTGAAAAAGCCAAAAGACGAAAAACACCTAAAGCAACCGCAATTTTCTTAAGCAGCTAAACAACAACCACACACAGACACGCACCTCCAAACAACCAAGTAACCAACCAACAAGCCCCCACCCTCAAGAGTTTATGTGAATGAACTACTTAAGCGAGTTAGGCTTCATCACAAAATAATCCCCAGCCAACAGGTAACGATAAAGCAGCTATACAAAGTGCTTCCTTTTCTGCTTTGCACAGACTTTGGCCATAAACAATAACCAAATATTTCGTATATCCGTTGCGCAATGTCAACCGCACTGCACGAGTCGGAGCGTAAATGAAAACGTAGCTAGAGGGGTGGGAAGCATCAAAATTGAATCGACCTGGCCAGGACAGACAACATCAAAAACGCCAATTGATTGCGCACAGACTCAAAGCGGTTCTCTGTAATGCAAATATGTTGGCAAGCACAAATGTCATTATGGCTGCAACTGGGGTGGACTGTGACGCCAATTGCTAGAGAAAATTCCAACTGCAGAAGCAGCTGATGTCCAATTTTGCCAGGTATTTTGGCAAGCCCAAACAAAGCTAATTAAAAATTGTGTCATTGTTAATGGAAAAGCTTGATTCTGTTTAGCTCTTGTTAAAGGCGGTGAATTCAGCTCCATTTTATAGCAGACCTGTAATTTTCATGGTTTATCTTTCAAAAATTCAACTGCGCGCCAAATGAAAACAGTGTTCAAAAAGCTCGCTGCTATGGAACTAAACAGCTGACATTTGCTAACTGATTTCGTTAGCTGCTAGAAATATCGATGACAGCTAAAACATGATGCTTGAGCTAATATTATGCTTAAAAAAAATGACGATACCAATATAAATTATTCAATATTTCATTTCAAATACATGTTTTTTTGTATTGCTTAAATATTTAAAATATAAAAAATTAACCTAATTTTTATTTAAAATGAGTGGCCGATAAATCGGGTATCGATAGTTTGTTGCTGGCTCTTCATAGCTCGTGCAGCTTGTTATTGTTTACAAAACAAAGTATCTGGATTTTGTTACAGTATTTATAAGAAAAAAGGCGCAATCAGTTGTGGGAAAGCTTGATGGCAGCTGGGAGGCAATCAGCAGTGGCATTTCTCGAATTTCCGCAGCACCAGACACGCCGTCGCGCAGCTGCCAGCCGACCACTTGTTGTTTTTTTTTCTCTCTTCCTATTCAAGCTATTGTGATTGCCGTGCAGTTAAATGCAATTTAAACAGTAAAACAGGTCGGAATAAGTGCATCATATAATATAAAAAGTGTATTACTGTGGATCTCTAACAATTTCCAATCAAATATGCATACATACTAGCTACACAAAGAAAACCACAGCCGGCGGTGCTAGCTATCAAATTCTTTACTAGAAAAGTCATTTGAGGCATAACTTGCAATTTAAAATAAGTTTAGCTATTGTCCCATTGAATGTGCATATTAAACGGCACAAATTGGTGTTAATTGTGTTACAACGAAAATAAATCGACAAGTTCGGTAAAACCGTGAGAAATTAGCATTTTATGCGAACGCCTGGTCGGTCTTGGGGCTCATTAGAATAAAGTCTAGCCATTGAACCGGGAGATAAACAATATAAAAAAAAACAAGTACAAAGACTTAAAGTGAACAAGGCAGTGCAATTAAAAAGCAATCGGCGATAAAACGTTAATTGCAGAACAAACTAGTCAAGTGTGTGTATAGTTTGAAGCGTAAGTAGCTCTCAGAAAGCCGAACCAAAGCGTTGATAAAAAGCGTGACACTCAAAGGGGGGCTTCTTATCAACGCCCCCCAGTAACCTGCAAGAGCAGCGTCACTATATGCTGCACTTATATACATACATACATGCATTTTTATTCTACATATTGTCAAAGCTACAAGGTGAAATACTTTTTTGAACTTTAACTCCAGTTAAGTAATGCACAATTTATGGCTTGTATAATCGCGCGACTACAACAATACAAATTAAAGTGATTGCGCGTTATACAAGCAAACATTTCTACATACTTATGTACATACAAGAGATTATGCACTGCTGACACGATTAGCAACGACATCTGATAATATATAAACAGATGTACATACATATGTATCGCCACGATTCTTAGCTTCTCATGGCTTTTCGGTTGTACAGCTGTAAATTACTGAAAAGAAATCTAATGCACTACAGGGTGTTTGCAATGGTTTATCAGAGCAACTATAATCAAACACCGATTGAACACATTTTTTGTTGTATCATAAATTAACTGCAGCTGTAATCGCATAAATATCTTATCAATGAAAATTTTTCAAGCGCTTATGAGGTTGCTACTAAAAACCATTTGTGGCGTTCAGTTCCAAAACGACGAGCTATGTGATCGGTTTTTGGCTGGGACTAGTTAGATCCAAAGGTTGATTTTAATTAAACTTCGATTCTAATTACAATTTTTATAACCTGCAGCTCATTAAAATAAAAGGAAATTCAAGATGACCGTTCAAAGCAAGTTGTTGGATCCGCTTTGTATAACCTGCAAGGACTTTCAACATCCCTGGACGGACAAATGTGCCAACGCGACGGCGGGCATATTGCTCTCTTCCACGCCCTATTGTCTGCGCGTCTATACAGTTGTCTATGCTCTGTCCCTCCTCATGCGCCATCGCATACCGACTCTGACGGATCTGAGGCGCACCTTACTGGGCATTATACAGTCGACTGCATTTCTAGTGACCAATGCTTACACCTTTATACTGTATAACTGCCTGCTTCGGAATGTATTCGGACGCTATTACTTCTCCACCGTGGCATTCGTGCCTTGCTTCATGGCCTCCTTCTCGGCAATTCTAGTGGAGCGTCCGGCACGTCGTCCATTGCTCACATTATACGTGGCCAATGTAGCCACAGAGACACTATGGCGCATGGGAGAATCACGCGGCTGGCTGCGTTCCCTGCCACATGGGCAGACGATTATTTTTGGACTTAGCATATCGGCGTTGCTGTATCTGAACCGCTTGGGCCTGCAAAAAACCATCGCGAAGGACTCCATCTTCAACATACTGCGCATATTTGTGGGCAAGGAGGAGGCAGGTCCTGTGATCAAACCCGAGCCTGTTGTGGGCGGCGACCAGCCAGAACCTTCCCGACGTCGTCCTACCGTTAGCTTCTCCACTGTTGCGGACTGGGTGCGCGTTTATAGCAATTTGATTCGAGGGCGTCATTCCAGTTGCCAACATAAACAAAGCTGCGCAACGTATGCCGTGCTTGGAGGTCTGAAGCCCTTCGTAGGCGGTGTAGCGCTGCAAGTAGCCTTGAAGTTGGTCATGAACATCAAGAAGGTGACACAGGGCCAGATGCAATGGCGCAAGCATATCTTCAATAACAACACATTGCACCTGGGCTTCTTTATGGGCAGCTTCTCGTTCCTCTACAAGGTGGGTGCTAAAGAATAAGTGTAATTTAAGATCCTTGATAGCGGTTTCTCAACAACAATGTTTTAATAATTAGTATGCATATTTAAAGGAATGCCTTTAACTCAGAACCCAAATCTCAAGTTTCAACTCCACCATCCATTAATTAATCCCAGTATTTGCAATAGTCAAACAAATTAGCTTCGTTTTCCAAAACATTTTAGTCATATCTGAAAAAAAGGCTTTAAATATTTGAATGAAATACAAATTATATTTTAATTTCTGGCCAATCAGTCTTCTTGTTTTTAACACACTAATGGAAACAATTCTTAATTTCAGTCTATTTCATGTTTGCTGCGACACAGCTTCAACCGGGATGATGCCCTTTTTGCTATTCCTGCCGGTCTCATTGCCTCACTAGCATTTACCCAATATCCGGATAACACTGTGGCGCTATATGTAATGTGGAAAGCCCTACAGGTAAGCATGAAACAAAATTAGTCCCTTGGAAATTGATATTCGAGAACTTGCTTTTCAGATACTATACAACATTGGACAATCCAAAGGCGTACTACCACACGTGCCAAACTTTATGCTATTTCTTTACTCCTTTTTCACGGCTGTGCTGTTCCATGCCGGCATTTTGGAGCCAAAGAACTTGCGTCCCAGTTATTTCAAATTTTTGCAGGCCATATCAGGCGAAAGGTAATTTAATATTTATTCCATGAAATGAGATCTAGCTCCTTATCATTTCTCTTTGTCGTACAGACTAAGCAAGTTCAACTTGAGTGCCTTCGACACCTTTGGCTTGAACACTCAGCAGCAGGCGTGGGACACTATTAAAGCCCTAAATATTGTCAACAAAGTAGAACTGCCTGTATTTTCGTTTGCATCATGAAGCGAATCCTAAATAGAATTTAAATAAACAAGCTCATTACATTTCTTTAAGTCTTAGCATTTGTGGTGTCCATATCGAAAGCGTTTGAAACGCATGCCACTGAATTCTATATAATATTGTGTATATAGGCTTGTCAGCCCCAACTTTGGAGTCTCGCTCTGTGTATATTTTGTGTCTAAAATGTGCTGTGTGGTGCACATTGTTCAGTTAAGGGTTCTATTGTAAATTATTTTGACTGTTTTTGGTACACATTTGTTTTTATAATAAAGTAAAAGAAATAATTAAGAGCTGTTTTATTTAAGAGAAGAGTGTAAGAGAATCAATTGATAAGTTATCCGAACAAGCAACAAACCCGTTCTCCGTTGCACTTCCTGATAATTTTCTCGCGCTCGCGTTCATTCACCCAATTCCATGCGTTTTATATTTCAAGGCCCACATTCATTTTGCTTATCAGATAAGCCGACGCACTTGAAACCTTGAGTGAACACGTTTTTAATAGTTATATGGACTGCATTTATGGACTGCACATGTCAGCGGCAGCATTAGTTGTGATTGAATGGTGCCTAAGACGCCAAGTTACTACGATCGGATGTACGTGTATTCCACTGCCTGATAAATCTGCACAGTTTCAAGGTAAGCTTATGATAGCACAATGGATAAAAATAACAATCATTTAAAAATAACTCTGTATAGAAGAATAAAAGGAATTCTCTTTAAATTGTCTAACATATTTGAATTGTTAAGGCCGAGTGCTTTCATCGAATAATTGTTCCTTTTGTGGTGCGTACAAGTTTATATATTTCGGCAAATTAATATGTTCAATCTATTTTTATATTCTGTATATGAAATGGACAAGAGTATATTAGGTTTGCGCGAGCTGAAAAATGTAACAGGCAGAAGGAGGCGTGGCAGACCCCACAAAGTATATGTATTCTTGATCAGCATGACAAGACGAGTCGATCTAGCCCTGTCTGTCCGTCCGTCCGTCCGTATGATCACCTAGATCTCAGAGACTATAAGAGCTAAAGACACCAAATTTTGCACAAAGATGCCTTATGTGTGTATTCTATACGAGTTTGTTTTGTTTGTTTGCGGCTGTTGATGATGTTACTGTTTGGTTGACTGCTAACATGTTTACTCAGACACGAATCTACGAGCATATACATACATACACTCACATAGACGCAATTGTTTTGATTATGTGCAATTATACACCCTTTACGTGAGTTCGAATACCAAAAGAGGTCAAATCGATCAAATTTTTTTTTTATTTTCTTACTTTCTTAATTTCTATAATTATTCTAAACATATGTACATAGTATTTCAAAGTCGGGACACCCGACTTTAGCTTTCTTACTTGTTTTCAATCGACTTTTTATGCTCTATACCCAAAGGGAAAGAAAAAAGTATATTGTGTATAAATGCAAGGAAAGTATAAGATCAGAATGTATAAGAGCTAGAATAACCACACTTAGTAATCATAGTTCCCCAAGCCCCATGTATGTAGTTTTCTGATCGATTGGTGGTCGGTGTTCGTATCTTTCTGCGAGGAAAGGGATGAATTCTGATTTTAATTTATTTTATTTATTTTTCCCCATTCCCCCATCAACAATAACAATTCCAGACTTACATACACATAACTATTTAACGTTATATTTCTGCATTTATCTATCGATGCTTCAAATGTTAAGCCAAATCAAGCAATTGCAACACTTCTTTTTTCATTTTAATTTCACTTCTGCTACTACGTCTATGCTAGAACGAAAGCGGGATATCATTTCAAGGTATGGGCATATAATCGCAAAATCTCCATTGTAAGCTCCATACGAACGAGATCTGCGATTAAAAGGCTCGGATGCGTGATTTCATTTGTCAGAGTTTTCAATGAAAATCTGCATTCCATGTGCTGACAGACTTTAGTTCAATTTGGAAAATGAAAAGTGCAAAATGAAATATTTTTCCTGGAAATGTCCGCGTTGTTTGGCTTTGTTCATTGAAAGCACTTTGCAAAACGTTTTAATTTGTTGAGCGATTGAAATTATTGAGCCAGTCAACAGACTTTGTCCATTGGCAGACTACAGGTAAAAACAAAATGTAGTTTTGTTGCTTCGAATTTGCGACTGTGTGTTATTGTTTTTTACAAGGTACCTAACCTTAAAACTTTATCAACTGGAATGTACTATTCATGTAGAGCATGAAATCAAACAATTGGAAGAATTTGTTAACAAACTTTTTGTCTTTGTTGAGTAAAGAGAAACCTAAATAACTAAAGAGTGCAAACTAGTTCTCATATATTTTCAGAGAATCTATTATCAGCAGCTGCTTAAGTAATTGAATAGATGTATGCATGTATTAAATAAAGCCAATCGACTGAGAGACACAATTCTACACAGAGCGCACATCCGGCTTTATCGGAATACAGAGACGACCGCTCTTCATTTGGATATCACACAAAAATACATTCCAAAAACTTTTCCCTAAAAATGGCGGCACAAAGCAAATTGTTTAGTGCTGGAGTCGACTGCAGTTGCCACGCCTACATGCATCCGTGGACCACAAGCTGCGCCAGTGGTACGGCCGGCATGATGCTGGCCTCCATACCTAGCTCTCTACGCACCTACTTCACAGTCTATTTGGTAAGCAATAGAAACTTATGAACCCCTGAATTGTCGATCCCTATGTCCACAGATCGCACTAATCGCCCGCAGGCGCCTGCCTAGCCTGAAGGACCTAAAGCACACGGGGGCTGGCATTTTGCAGTCGGCCGCCTTTCTATCGACGAATGCTTGGTGCTTCAGCTTATTTGTGTGCCTGTTGCGTCAAGCTCTTGGACGTTTCTATTTTGGAACTGCCGCCCTTGTTCCGGCCTTTTTTGCAAGCATTGTGGCTCTGAATGTCGAGCGTCCGGCACGCCGTGCGGCCCTAGCCTTATATGTGACCAATGTGGGTCTGGAGACATTGTGGCGTATGCTAGAGGCCCGTGGTCTGGTCCACTCCATACCCAATGCACAAGTTCTAATCATGGGTCCCAGCATTACCGCTTTGCTTTATCTGCAACGCCTGGGCCTGCACAGGACCGTGGCAAAGGACATAACATTTAAGGTGTTACGTGTTATTATTGGCAAAGAGGAAGAGGGTCCTCTTAACATGCCAGTAGCGAACAGTAGCGGCAGCCTAAGCTCGCGACAGAGGCGCCTGAGTTTCCGCAGCATCAGGACTATTTTGGGATTGTATGAACACTTTCGAGCTGCTAAGCATTCCAGCTGTCCTCATCGCCAAGGATGTGCTATTTACGCTTTGCGTGGTGGCCTCAAGCCCTTTGTGGGTGGCGTGGGACTAACATTATCCCTAAAACTGCTGCTCAACATCAGCAAGATAGTCCGTCTAAAAATGGACTGGAGAAAACGAATGTTCAACAAGGACTCTCTAAAGCTGGGTCTGGCACTGGGCAGTTTTTCATTGCTCTACAAGGTTGGTGGTTTCAGCAGTCGATGCTACTTACTCTTACCCTCACTCTACAATGCTTTTACTTTCAGATGACTTCGTGTGCCCTCCGCCATGGCTTTGGTTATGATAATGCTCTGTTCGCCATTCCAGCTGGCTTGCTAGGCTCCATTGGACTGCTGCAATTTCCCAATACTACCGTTTCCCTTTACATCATGCTGAAACTGCTCCACCTGCTCTATAATTGGGGCATTGAGGGAGGTGTACTGCCGGAGGTGCCACACTTCATCACGTATTTGTATGCCTTCTTCACGGCTATACTCTTCCATTCTTCCATATTGGAGCCACGCTCCTTACGTGACAGTTACTACAGGTTCTTGATGAACATGTCGGGCAATAGGTGGGTGACTATATACTTGTATTTCAATCTAAAATCTTCAACAACTCGTTCACCTCCACAGAATCTGCCGTTTTGGTGTGCGTTCGTTGGAAGATCTTGGTCTGGAGAGCCACGAACAGATGCTGGATGTTGTACAAAAGCTGAAGATCAATACAGCTTCACCCAACCCGTCGGTGCCACTAATGTAGAAGTATCCGACACATCCTAACATTTGAAGAATGGAAACTTTGGTTGAACATACATAAACTTTTCATATAACAGCCTTATAGTACTATTTTCATTAGTAGTCTGTGGGGGCTTATGGGAATTTCATTGATAAATTGGACAACAACGGGGCTGCCGGATTCTTTCTTAAGAGAATTCAAAGTGCGTAGCGATAAGAGTTTTGTGTGCCAACATATCTTATCGCTAGTCGAGTTCATGATTTGGCTATGGGAAAGCATTCAATTGGAACGTTAGTTGTATATTGAACTACCGTGCGTACAGTTGAACTGACGGAACAACCTTTGCGACCGAATTATAAGTTCGATTCCAAAAACAAAAAACCACGAAAATATTGCAACTGGCAAGACACTCCTCCTGCATCTGAAAAACTAGATCAGTAGAAAAGGGGCGCACTTATTTATGTGGATTATGCGGTCGCTTCGTTACTGAGACCATACCTACAATAAATCGTAGACCTTATTTAAATCTGCGTGCACTTTGTTCGGGTTACCACAACCACCGTTGAGTTAATCTTATCGACTACCGGTTCCAATTCGATAAGCTAAATAATCACTTCAGTAGCTGGCTGATCGGTCAGATCTCTTAATCCTAAAATGGCTGCACAAAGCAAATTGCTGGATGGCGCCCTTAGGTGTAGCTGCCATGCCTACGAGCATCCCTGGACATCAAGCTGTGTCAATGCCGCAGCTGGCATGATACTCTCATGTGTTCCCAGTGCTCTGCGCACCTATGCAACAGTTTATTTGGTAATTAGCAGATAATTTGTATTCCTTATTCTAATTCCATTCTTCACACAGCTGGCATTAATCGCACGCTTGCGCCTGCCATCTGTTCAAGATCTCAGACGCACGGTCCACAGCATTCTACAGTCTATGGCCTTCCTCGTAACGACTGCCTACGGCTTCAGTCTGTCCGTGTGCTGGTTGCGCAAGTTGCTGGGTCGTTTCTACTTCGGCACAGTTGCCTTTCTACCCACCTTTCTGACCAGCATTGCGGCCATCATCATTGAGCGACCAGCCCGCCGCATTCCCCTCGCTCTCTATGTGGCCAATGTGGGTAGCGAAACGCTCTGGAATATGCTGGAATCAAGAGGCCTGGTTCACTCCATACCCAATGGACACGTCATCCTCTTGGGGCTGAGCACTAGTGCGCTTCTTTTTCTGAGTCGCTTGGGTCTACACAAGACTGTGTGCAAGGATGCCACTTTCAAGGCACTGCATATAATTCTAGGCAAGGAGGAGGAAGGTCCACTTAGAACGCCCGCCGTGACCATCACCCAAAGCTCCAGACCTTTGAACTTTGGCACTATTTTGGGATATGTACAGCTGTACGAGCGTGTGCGTAGTGCCAAGCATCCGAGTTGTCCACATAAGCATAGCTGCTCCAGCTATGCCTTGCGTGGCGGACTCAGACCCTTCATTGGTGGTGTCGGCTTACAAGTAGCCCTAAAGCTCCTTCTAAACAGCAAGAAAATATTCAAGCTCCGTATGGAGTGGCGCAAACAAATATTCAACAGGAAATCGCTGAATCTAGGACTGGCTCTAGGCAGCTTCTCACTGCTTTACAAGGTAGGTTTACTCATATTACCATTGATCTCAGGAATCTAAGATCTCTTTTTTGACAGGCAATTTCCTGCGCTCTGCGTCACAGCTTTGGTCACGATAGTGCGGCTTTTGCCATTCCCGCCGGCTTGATCGGCTCCATTGGACTGCTACAGTTCCCCAACACCACCGTTTCTTTATATGTAATGTGGAAAGCTCTGCAACTGCTCTACAATTGGGGCATATCGGAGGGCGTGCTGCCTGAAGTTCCACACTTTACTATTTTCCTGTATGCCTTATTTACTTCCATACTTTTCCATGCTGCCATTCTGGAGCCTCTCTCTCTACGACCCAGCTACTACAAGTTTCTGATGAACGTGTCGGGAAACAGGTGCATGTTCATGTTGACAACTTTAATGATTTTCAATTATCCAATTAATTTCTTTCGCCCCAGAATAAGTCGCTTTGATGTACGTCCGTTTGAGTCCTTTGGCCTGAATAGCCATGCACAGGTGATGGAAACAATAAGGAAACTGAAGATAGACATGACATCGGCAAATCCAATGTTTCCATTAACAACATAGAATTGACGAATTTAATAATTGTGGTTGTGGTATTTAGAGCGAATGTACTGATAGAATAAAGTTAATTTTTCCCTTTCAAGATTTGTCATTCATTTATTCAATCGAATGGCCAGATTTAACAAAAAGTAAAATAAAGTCGTCCTTTCACGGACATAGGAGAATCTGGATACCAACTTTGGTTATTCTAGCTTTTATAGTTTATGAGATCCTTGCGTTCATCCAGACAGACGGACAGACGGACGGACGGACATGTCTAGATCGATCTCTCGCCATGCTGATTCAGAATATATATACTTTATGGGCTCGAAGATGCTTCCTTCTGCATGTTACATACTTTGCACAAACCTAATATACCCTTTTTACTGTTTAAGGAGAAAAAAATGGCAAAAATAATTTTCTACGTATACCCCAACTGGCTATCAATTCAAGCAAAACTGCCACCTATTCTATGCTAAATCATACTTCGCGTAAAATAATTTAAGTTGAGGTTAGGCAGGAAAGTCTATTCCAAACGCACACTATTTTTATACCCACTACTCAAAAAGTAAAAGGGTATAATAGTTTGGTGCACATTTAAATTAAAAAGAATTTCATTTTACATAATAAAAATATTAAATTTATTTATTTTTCTGAAAAATGCTTTAAACTATAATGATCTCGGTCGGACAAAAAAGGACAGACAGAAATCGGTCAAAATATTACAAATTGCCAACAATTGTTTAATGCTTTCACTGCCGCGTGAAATAAAAATAATATTGAAAAACAATTGATGATTTAAAAAAGAAGTATCCAGCTTTCAGAGGCCACAATTGTAAACAACATAGTGTTCGAAATACTGCGCTAAGATCAACCAACTTAAATAAACAACTTTTTTGTTTCAACACAAACTATTAAGTAACGATATCCCACATATTGGACAAAGGCTCTTTACTTTGTTTTAAAAAATAATGTTCTTTCACGATTGATACATTTTCCAATTCGCTATTTCAACAACCAATAGAGGACTGAAATAACGCATTTCATAAGTGCACTTATTTATTGAGGGTTTGGTTTTTCTATTAGGATTATATTTAATCGTTCATTGACAATGTAAAATGTGGTTGAAGGATTAGCAATGTTGTCGACTGACTGCTTGTGCAATATTGTGAAATTCAACCGCGAATCAAAGCTATATTTCTGATTTTGTGGCCCACAATGTTAAAAAAAACTTGCTTTAAATTTGTATTATTGTAATTCCAATGTTAGCAACTAAAACCAAATTTAAAAATTAGGTTAAAACCATATTAATGCACATTCTAGTTGCAATTTCTCATCACACACCACAGCTCTTTTCAACAAACATTCAGAGGCATTTACGGAAAAGCAAAGCGGTTCCGAAATATCAGCCCAACACTCTTTTACACTTTGAAGGCTTACATATGGAAATACACAATTATGTAAGAGAAAAAATTAAAATTAAATGTCTGTGTCGCGGCCCAAAGCGGCCAAAAAGGCTTTTTATGTGCGCCCGGCTTTGGCGCCCGCAAAGTAGGGCCTCCAACATCAATCACATAGTCAACGATGCGCCATTTTGCAAACAAGCAAAGCTCAGTCGCTTCAGTCGCAGGACCGGCCCCCACCATCCTTGCAGCTGGTCAACAGGAAAGTGGCAACTCGAGACGCGCGCTCTGCGCTACTCAATTATTTACATTTATATGTCATATAAATTTATAGCTTGCCATAACTCAGACGACGCGCCAGAAAGTGCAGCGGTAGCTTCCTTGCTCCCCTCGACTTTCTCAACTCGGCTCCGGCAAGCGTTAAAAATTTACTTCAAATACCCAAGGCCTTCTAGCGAGTCGTCTTGTTTTGGCCAAAGAGCTCATCTCAGCTCGGGCTTAACAAATGAATTATTGTTCCAGGCCAAATTTAATGCGCCACTTAGTTATGTGCCGGAGCTTTTATATAATAATATGTGCCCAGCGAAGTGACTCGCTGGCTGGTTGCTGCCACTGCTAAGTGGGCCAATCATGAGGCAACAGCAGCAACAAAAACAACAACCTAGGGACAACAACAAGGACAACTTGGCGTCGATGGCACTTGGTCTTTTGTTTGCCCCACGCTTGTTGTTTGGCTGATTTTCATTTTAAATTGAGTTGAAAAATAATGAAAATGCAAATTTGTCGGCTGCTGCTGTTTCTGATTCTGCTTCAGCTTCTGCTCCCGAGATGTCCGGCAAGTCAGCAGCTGTTTGGTATTTTCTCCGCCTGCTGCAAGTGCCTTTTGCTAACTTGAGACAATTTGCAAGCGATCAGATACAGTGGCCGAGAAAGCCTGCTCTTATCAACAAAAGCAAAAACAAAACCAAAACCCAACCTGCATTTAATAAAGGAACGTAATGTAACACTAAAGCTTTCACGATTAGCTGGGGCCCATAAAACATTAATTTTTTCTTATGTTTATATTTATATTTTTTGTATTTTACATTGATATTTGGATGTAGAGTCAAGCCCAAATGACAACTTTGAAGTAATGACATAATTAACATAGATTAATCGCTGATTTTTAATAATTTACAAGTGTGTTTGTCTCGCTCCTATTTTCAAGTCTTAAAATTGTACAAGTATATTCTGTAAAGCTGTATTTTCATTATATTTTCAAAAACAATATTATTTAGTATTTAAAATAGTTAATTACATTTTAGACTTCCGCTCTGGACTCAAAATAGTTTGAAAACGATACGATACAAATCAAAATAAACCACTAAAAAATATAAAGTAAATGATATCATAAAGCCACTAATGAGAATATACTTATTACCTTTACGATTTATACTGAACTTAGCATGTATGTATACCAATCTTGTTACGGATTTAAAATAGTTCCCAATAACTTAGTAAAATAATAACATTATTAAGGTAAACAACGGATGATAAATTTGAATATTAATAATGTGTCGATAAAGCTTAAAAAGCATTTAAAAATTTTAAAAATAATAAAACGTATTTTGAAATTATAGAAAAAAAGCAAACGTTTGCATTTGTAATATGTCAGCACTGCTTAATAAATATTTTATTTTAAATCCGAACTTAATCGAACTTTTAGTGAATTTGGTAATAATTTTCGGTTTATAAAATACTTCATTTAAGAAATGTTTGAAGAGTTTAAATTTCTTGGCTATCATTGAAGGGGACTTAAAATAAAAACAACTCTTCATTGATTAATGAATTACATTGTGGAACTGACTTTATTTCTTATAACATTAAATTATCTTAATAATTTAATTTAATTTAATGATTTGGCCTTTATTTAGGTACGAGAAATTGTGCAATATTTTGAAAATATTTAAGGGACATTTAATTCCCAGTGAGATGTCGTAAATTACATGACACTAGTGTTTGGGTACAACTTATTCACATATTTTCAGTCAATATTTGCCGACTTTCTAATTTTGAGATGAGTTTCTAATCAATTTAAAAGACATGCGAAATAAAAATCGCCAATAAATGAAATTAAATCGATCTTGCTTCACTTTCCTTGATTGTTCATCAACTTTTTATTTACTTTAAATTTAATAATGATCATTTATGATTGCAGATCTGTCCCGCCGACTTTCTTCCGTTTGAACCACTGTGCTCTGTAAAAAAGCGTAGCATACTTTTATGCACTGCAGCTTCTTACCATTTATGTATGAATTTATATGCACGTCCGTTCATTTTATGCCACAAAGTTTTTAAAAACACAACACAACTATACAAATATATTCCGTTGCATATACGTGTATGTATGTGTGTACCAGTATAATAATAACCGAGTCAACGGAATAGAAAATACAAATGAAGGCAGTGACAAATCTCATTAATCACAGCGCAGATTTTATTTTCAATGGATGGATGGTTGGTTGTGGTGTTGGCGACTGTGACAGTGACTGTGGCTCAGAATGTTGCTGCATTCTATGCTGGATTATCAGCTTAGTGGCTGCAAGCTGTTGTTGTTTTTGTCTTTGTTTGCACTTTCCACCTCCAAGTGTTGTTCTTGCTGTCGCTTATATAGTAAGGGAAAAAAATGCATATAAATTGTATATTATAAATTTTCTTATTTTAACTGCTGTTCTGCTTGCCACTCACTTAGCAGCGCAGTTACTTGTTCATATACTCGCAGTTGCCTATTTTCTTTGGCCCAGTAACGCTGCTTGCGGCTGCTGTTATTGTTTTCCAAGTCGTAACTTCATTTAAGTCAAATGCAACAGTGTCTCCCTCTCTCCCTCACTCTCTCTTCTCCCTTGTTGGCTCTAAGCTGCAATGTTGCACATTGTAAACAAGAAAATTATGCAAATGAATATATTTTCTCCCCTGTTTTTCCGACTCTGCTACTGCTTTCGAAAATGACGAACAATTCTCAAATGCTAACGATGTTGCACCACAAAGTGAATGCAGTAAACAATTAAGAATGAACTGAGGTATTGATTGATATAAAATATTGAATGAAATATGCCAAAAATGTATAAATATGCACCAACAGAATACAATATCCTTCACGTCTCTCGGTAACATGCAGTCTTTATTTAATATTCCGGAATTTAATGTTACAGAACTAAAGGTGGGAAAGTTGTGGCTTTTTCATTTTTATTTTGTGGGAGAAATACCTTCACACACACGTGAAAAACTATTACATGGATCATGCGCTTCGGTCTTTATTCGGGGCCATTACAGCCGACCATGCTAAGTTTTAACAGGCGGAGCAATAGTATGAAGGAGTGTGGACATTTAAAGAGACTAGATAACTTAATTGAATAAAAATCGTTTGTTTTAGATTTAACTGATTAAATAGTATTATCTACACTGATAAAAAACAAACCACGTACATTTAAATATGTTCACCATCGATTTTTTACCGTAGTGTGTTTCAAGTTTAATATTAAAATCTTAAATTTTAAGTGCGACGATATTAAATCAGAAGTGATAATGTGGAAGTAGGTTTGATTCACGCCGGCTGATTGAATAGACTTACTTGACACATAC